ATGTCTGGCAATACTACATGGAATACTTCTGCTGTGCAGGTTACACTGGACAGGGCACTACATGTGTACCAGGTAAGACTAATACTCAGCAGAGCAGGGCTGGGTACGTAATGTACTAACACTGGGGCGGGGCAGTAGGCCTTGGCGGATAATGCCGGCAGAAAAATTGGCAGAATTCGGTACTTTCTCTGGTAAGTTTCATGCATGTTTGGTATGTGGATATAGAAATGGAGCAGAATTCGAGGAATTGTCCGCCATAAGGTTTGTATGGATCTGCCAATTTCGGTGCAAAAAAAGCAGAATCTGCCACCTTTTCGAGCATTATCCGCCAAGGCCTACGGGGCAGGGTACATAATGTGCAAACACTTGGGTGGGGGGGGGGGGAGGCACATTGTACTAGCACTGGGGTGGGGGGGGGGAGGGGCAGGGTACATAATGTGCTAACACTGGGGTGGGGGGGGGGAGGTACATTGTACTAGCACTGGGGTGGGGGGAGGGGCAGGGTACATAATGTGCTAACACTGGGGTGGGGGGGGGGGGGGAGGTACTACTAGCACTGGGGTGGGAGGGGGCAGGGTACATAATGTGCTAACACTGGGGTGGGGGGGGGAGGTACTACTAGCACTGGGGTGGGAGGGGCAGGGTACATAATGTACTAACACTGGGGCGGGGGGGGGGGGGAGGTACATTGTACTAGCACTGGGGGGGGGGGGGAGGGGCAGGGTACATAATGTGCTAGCACTGGGGTGGGGGGGGGGGAGGGGGAGGTACATTGTACTAGAACTGGGGTGGGAGGGGGCAGGGTACATAATGCAGTAGGTAAGATTAAGAGTCGGGCAGGATACACCAGTACTATGTGAGTCTAAGACTGGGGGAAAGGGGTACTTACATGTACATGTACACTGTACATGCATACACCAGGTAGGACTAACACTTGGGGTAGGGTGTAATCAGGCACTGCGCCCGTGCCCTTCAAGGGGGATTTCGGGGCCTCCCCCGGGAAATGTTCAAAAAATGAAGCAAAATCCTGCATTTTGAGCGATAAAGGGGGGTTCCGGGCACCCAGGAACCCATACGGGGCACGCGTCTGGTGATGTACCGTGTAACCCTAACACGGGAGCAGGGTTCATGTGTGCCAGGTAGGACTTGGAGTCGGGCAGAATACGTGGGTACGATGTGAGTTTAAAGCTAGGCGCAGGGTAGATGCGTACCAGGGTCTGGGAAGACCTACGCTAAGGCAAGGAGGTAAATGAGTACCAGGCAAGACTAACACGAGCAGGTACATACGTGTACATGTAACTACATGTACAGTAGCAGGCCGGTGCGGCTAGCATGAAGGCATGGTACACAGACACATGTATAATCAAGTGAGTCGAACATTGAAAGCAGCATACTGCTGCATAGGAGTAGTGTGGGTTTGAGAAGAATACAATAGACGTGTAGTGTATTCATTGCACATTTTCTTTCACGAACAGATTCTTGATAAGTTAGGTACAGTATACGGTGGGTTTAATCTCAAAACCCAACAGTGTGTGTGTGTGTGTGTGTTTGTGTGTGTGTGTGTGTGTGTGTGTGTGTGTGTGTGCATGTGTGTGTGTGTGTGTGTGTGTGTGTGTGTGTGTACGTGTGTGCGTTTGTATGTGCATGCCGGTCTGTGTGTGATTGCATGTGCGTGTGTATGTGTGTATGTGTGCATGTGTCCGTGTGCGTATGTATTCGTATTCGTATGTATTCGTGCTGTGTGTATGCGCATGCGTGATGATGCATCAACCCGCAGCATGCAACCAAGTGTGTTACAACAAAGGATGGTGCTCATCACCAAACACATGTACCTGCGCTGCCGGCTGGACTGGGAGTTCCTGTCAAACACGTGAGCTTCCACTTTAATATACATGTATACTCATATCTCCGTTATCGAGGACCCGGGCACTGTCCATAACTTGAAATCTCTGTAACTCTGAATCATGCACGTTTTGATGGGGAATTGCCAGAGATCTAGCATCCATGTAGGATGTCACTATTTCCACAAAAATTGGCAAAGGAGAAGTAATATTTCCACTAAAATTCCCTCTACAGGGTGCTCGGCAGACAGAAGTGCCCGAAATTTCGAGGTCTGCATAAGAGCGGTATCTATTTATAGATTGATACATCTCCTGGCTCACCGTAAGACTGTCAACAGTGAGAATGAAATGAAGGGTGCCAAACCAACCACAGCCAACTAAAATATGATAGTACTATATATTTGAACTCGGATTCCCCTCTTGGATCTTCCTAACCCGAGCCTTCCAAGTTGGAAGGTTGTTGGTTTGCGCCTCAGAGAAGTGTTGGAGCTAGGTGTCAGGTCGTTGAATGTCGCAGCACTCCTTGTCAGTTTTGTGCCATTTTGCCACACTCGCTGACTGTATACGATCTGGTTACAATGGTGGACAGTCAGTCATAACTCGTACCATTTTTGTCCTTCTCCTTTTTTTAGTTCTATGTATCCTTTTCTTTTTGCTTGATATATGACCAATCTTGAATTTCAACACAATTTCACCCTTTCATTGACTTCCCCCTTGTGCATTGTAACAGTTGCTGGGAAAAGACAATCTTCCCAGACAAGCATTGGAAAATGAAATAAATTGTCTCAAGGATATGTAGAATGGCACCAAGACATCGTCGTTATTGCCTTGCCTCTTCACCTGCATGCCAGCTCATGTATCACACTCTGTTGTGTGTTGCAGCGGAGTGCACCAGTGCGTGTTTGAATGGCGGTGCCTGCACTGCACCGTACACATGTACATGTGCAGCGGGATACACCGGCGCTACGTGTAACGCTGGTAAGTGATCTATAGTCGTATGTATCTTTAAAACTGTCTTGTCACAGATATTCGTGCAATGATTTACCCGTGACTCTGTAATGTTTCTTCCTCTTCTTTTTCTTGTACGAGTACTAGTGTTCTTATATCCTCGCTTTATCGTTCAGGTCACCCCCTCAACAGGTGAACAGCCTTCGGGGAATCCTTCTAAATAAACAAATACAAATACAATGAAACAGGACTGAGGAACTACAAGTTACACTATAATGTCCACTAACACCACCAGTTACAATCAGCTCATGCTCATGCTCGTGCTGATTGTTTAGTAACTTGTGGTGTTAGTGAACATTATAGCGTAACTTGTAGTTCCTTAGTCCTTTTTCTTTTCCATAAGTTTATCCTTGGCTCTCCATTCGAGTCCACAAAATGCAATGGCTGTGAGATGTCGAGGTTACTCAGTCGACAATACTTTATAATGAATCTCCCTTTGACTGGCAAAGCAATGTGCGTGATATCACTCAACACAGCAATGATGGCGTAGTCCAATGCCTGGCTGGGGAAACAGTGGGCAACCAGCTGTTGTCATGGCGAGTAGTGGAACCTGTTGACACATTTCATCTCTTTAGGCTTGAGTAATTTTACCAATGCATTGCTAATTTCCGGGGGTAAGCACTAAACCTGTGTGTGCCACTTGGCATGAAGAACCAGCCTGAGCTACAAGCATGTTGCTCAAGAAGAGCAAGGTTATCACCGCTTATCATTATGCTTGAATTAGCTTGAACCAAACCTTGAAAGCTCAGAACCATGACTGAATAACGAACTTCTGTTTTGGTCTTTCTTACGGTGTACAGTGTGTCCAGCAGGAACATACGGCGTTGGCTGCAAACCGTGTCCCTGTCTAAATAGCGGCTCGTGCAACAAGTTTTCACCTTCAGCGGTGAGTGCAAAGTCATCCTGGTTGATGTTGATACTTGTTCACTGAACACCGGTGCAGCCATAAGGCCCATAACCATACTGGCAGATGGTATTGTAGTAAAGGCTGTCTTTAGAACTCTTCTCTACCCAACTCCATATCTTTCCTCGGATGGGCAAAGTACGTGGTCAAGACGTGGGACAGAAACGGAAACTGATGCCACTTTTCAAAAGACCGCCTCCCCTGCCGATGTGTGTGCGTGCGTGTGTGTGTGTGTGTGTGCGTGCGCACGTGCGCGTGCATGTGTGTGTGCGAGTGTACGCGTGTGCATTGGCGTGCATGTATGTGTGTTCGGTTTGTTGTGTGGCATAGGTGTGTTCATGTACTCCAGGATGGAGGGGCACTACATGCAACCAGCGCTGTGACTCGGCTCACTACGGCCAGAACTGTGCCTCGACGTGCCAGTGTCTGAACGGTGCAGTCTGCGATCATATCAACGGACAGTGCACGTGTCAGCCAGGATGGATGGGAACAAGGTTAGTGTAGAGACGACCAGCCAGTGGACAGCAGCGAATGATGCAATGGAAGGAGTCTGTATGAATTGCACATAACAAAGTATGAATTTCACATAACAAAGTATGAATTTCACATAACAAAGTATGAATTTCACATAACAAAGTATGAATTTCACATAACAAAGTATGAATTTCACATAACAAAGTATGAATTTCACATAACAAAGTATGAATTTCACATAACATAACAAAACATACATGTACCAGTACACAGTGGTGATATCTGCATCACATACATGGCGGATCATAGGTCATGAGACCAGTTGCTAGTGAAGTCTACTCTGTATTTTTGAATTGGTCAATGATCATGTGCCCAAACGAAATATAACTCTATTTTCTAATTATTTATGTTGTGATCTATATGCAGGTGCGACACACCGTGTGCCAGTGGACATTACGGTCAGAACTGCGCTTTGTCTTGCGCCTGTCAGAACGGTGCAGCCTGTAGTGGAGTGGATGGCAGTTGCACGTGCACACCCGGTTATAAGGTGAGCGAGAGACAAGCTGGCGGACGAACAGAAATACCGCACAGACACATGTACATGTACATGGAGGCAGTTCAGCGGACGGGAAAGATAGATGGCCATATAAATAGAGACGTGTGAAGATAACAATACAGTGCAGTTGGTGCAGTAGAGCTTCTGCTGAGCCAGTACATATCCAGGGCCGGCGGAACCGGTCAGGCTGGTCCGGCCATGGCCGGACCACTTTCCCAGCTGGATGGTCCATGTGATTCGTGCAAAACCGGTGTAAAAAATCCAGAGGTACATGGCTCGACTGTACTGCCGACGTGTGATGTGCTTCGAAGTAGCTCAGGACTCCATGACCGGCACTGTATGGCTTTAATGATATGGATAAAAAAAAGTTGTGTTTGTGTTCTTTTACTTTAATTTTCTGCATATTCTGGAGCCTTAAGAGGTGCCCAAATTCGCTCTATTTCACATCAATTTCAAATTTTTCTCCGGGGGAGGGGGCCCCGGACCCCCCTCAAAGGTAGGCCGGACCACTCCAAAACTCCTTGCTCCGGCCCTGACATATCAGTCTCTCAGGAGGTGCATCATTACGGTTGATCCTCCCCCGCTCCAATTTCCGTCCTCTGTCGAGTTTCTGCCTGTGAAGCGACATCGGCGTATACAAAGAAGTGCAATGGTGAACCGTTGCCTGTACTGCTGTACACAATACGTGCGAGTGCAGGATGAAAATGTGCACAATCCAGAACGTCAAGTCTGATCTCCTGTTTTGTTGTACATCGTACTGCACTTGAACGACTTGATATAATTCCCGCCCCCTGCCAAAAAACCCTGCTTTGTAGCGGCCCGTCGGAGGGGGATCAACCATACTTTACGGTATTTCTATTTTGTTGTATTCTACATCACGTCACAGTTGCTAGAGACATCTATAACACCGATACAGAGTAAGAAGGGCCATTTGTCAGCCGTGTTGGGTAAAGGTTCAGGAGAAGAAAATGATCAAGCACACTAGTACTACCCCCATTTCCCACCGAGTGCTCCTATACAGGTCACATGCAGCTGTTACTACAATCTGCCAGAGAAGAATTTGTGTTCTGAAGTGTTTCTTGCGTGCAGTTCCAGTTAAATTTCAGTCTATAGTGACAGCCTGCAGCCACGTTATTGCTTGTTACATGGGAGGCCATCTTTGTTGTAGTGCAAAACACATGGCCACACTGGACATGAAAATGACACCGCATATCTTTATCACATGTAAACGTTTATAATTATTGTATGTGTTGGTTTGAATGGTCCACACACAGGGATCGCTGTGCTCGGAGACGTGCTCACCGGGCATGTACGGTGCAGGCTGTGCATCTCCGTGTCTCTGTCAGAACGGTGCCACGTGTGATCCGGTCACCGGTGGCTGTACGTGTGCTCCCGGGTACATTGGAACACGGTAACGTACACAATGTCTGTTGTTGTCATTGTGCAATGCATATTATACCATATTTTCTGTCACGAAATACAGACTTCTACCCTGTTTATCACCGTTAATTTGACGATCATAGTATAAAACCTTTTGATGAATTACTTGTGTTTAAAGGGCGGCTTATAGTCCGGAAAATTCGGTGGGCATGCAGCATTCCAGATCAGGCACTTCACACGTCGATACGATCTGATCTAGCCAATTGAACATGTTCTGCTGGTCCACTATCAGTAGGTGGGAAATTGACGTAATATTCACCTCGCAGTATTCTTTCTCCATTACCTTAACATGATGGTCGACTGAAAGTGGTCCGCTCAGCCAATATAGGTACTATGCCCGGCTTCCCGTGGAGCTGGTCTGGTAAATTGATTATGATCGGCTTTAATGCAATGGCTTTCAATGCAGTTGTGTTAGACCAAGCTGACGTACCCACTTCACAATGTACTGTGAGTGCAATCATAACTGTTGGAAGGTCTCGAAAATTGTGCGTACAACCTTTTGCCTAATCCTGAATGCGCGCCATGCCTGAGAATCTGGTTAAAGACTGTTTGATGTGTACCAGGGTGCTTAAATAGTCAGTATGGTCTTAGAGCACTTTTTGATGGGTCTGATCTGCTCACCTCCCACGGCTTGAAGAGCTGCACCTGCACATTGACCAGCGAGGGTGGCGGCGTTAGTGTGGACGCAGAAAAGTCAGTCTGACTGGCTCTTTCGCAAGCCGTAATTTTATTTTTGCGGGTACACGAGAGTTAATGTTTCGCTGGCAGCATGGCGGAGGACGCATTGTGTTTGAAAACAGAGCTCCGTACTAATACCATGAGAGTTTGTGTACAAGAAGAGACTTGTGCCTGGTTCTGTTAATACGATAATTCCTCTGCAATTCACCTGTTACAGGACACATCAAGTCTAATATTTGTCTCTTGTGACTACAGTCAAAACAAAGTGTTATGCAATGGGTTTTCAAGAGCAATCCATGCCCCTCTTTTTGTTTGTGTTGACTAGCTGTGAAAACACGTGTCCATCCCGTCAGTATGGCGATCAATGCGTCCAGGCATGCCAGTGCTCTTCAAACTCTACGTGCAGTCCCATCGACGGTTCGTGCAGCTGCAACGATGGCTGGAAGGGGTTGTTGTGCACCGTGGTGTGTCCGCGTAAACCGAACGGACAGTTTGACTGCTTGACGGCTTGCCCGCAGGTCTGCTTGAATGGTGGAACCTGCAATGAGTTCATTGGCGAGTGCGTGTAAGTTGTGTTCACGTATGAATACAGTGAAAACTGTCCAAGACGACCGCTTAGAAACCTCCTAAATCTGGTCTCTGTTAACAGGTGGTCTCCTTATACAGGGTCACTGGACTGTGAATAGCATCCCTTGGTCCTGGCTGCAGTGGTCTTCTGGGACAGGTGGTCTCCTTGACAGGTTCACTGTAATTTAAATGCAACAGGTAGCATCCATTTCATCGCTTTTCAGACAGTTACCAAATGAATCCTTTTATGTGCATTTTAAATCCGAAATCATATTCAGTCTCTAGAAAGCTAGCTGTCACGACCTAGTTTAGTCACATCAATGGAGCTCAGAGCGGTTGGGTGGACACTAGCAATGCAGGCTAGTGAACAACAAAGCATTTTTAGGTTCAAGGCTCAAGGAATCACTATGGTGGTAAAGACACACCTGGCAATATGGCGGTGAGTACACGCCTGACCACACACGATCTCTAGCGTGCCACACACGCCGTATTGCCAGGTGTGTCTTCACCACCATATTAATCAAGCATAAGTACAGCTGCAGTGGTGTCTTCAACTTCATTCTCCAGCTCAAACAATCAAAGTGGGAATACTCTAAATGTGAGAAAGGCAATGGATAGCAGTTTGTTGTGTTTCTGGTTGGATTTTTACAAGGTGAACGTTCACATGACGGTCCTCCTTGACGACTTGATTACATTGCAGTAAATAATATGAATGTAAAGTTTTTATTTGCAGGGGCATCGGAAGGTTTCTTTGGGTGGCACGATCAACCATAGTTGATGCCCCTTGAGTGGTGGGCTCTTGGGCCCTCCCTGAAAAGTTTTGTAACCATGAAGAAATAGAATTATTGTATTTCTTTTACCTTGTGGCACAGCGTGGTACAGTGAATACTGTCGTGAACGTAGCAAATTCGCCGGCCCAGCTTAGAGTGTTAAGACTCCAGTTTTGTCACTTAGTCTTGCTAAAAAAACATACACTACCACCCAAAATCGTCAGGAAGGTGCTGGATTGTGGAGCATAATTCTGTGAGCAAGAATGTAAAGCTAACCCATCTGTTATATTCTTCACAGTAAGTCCTTGAATAGGTCGGCCTGTAGGATAGTGCTTCACAGCTTACAATGTGTCTGGCCATATGCTTTCTTGTGTGGTGGGCTGTGTGGTGTGCATAATTCTGTTGCCTCACTGCACAGTTGTCCACCAGGATTCAATGGAACAGCATGTCAAGATGCCTGTATACCAGGAACCTACGGCACAGGCTGTATGGAGGTCTGCGAGTGTATGAACGAAGCGAATTGCTCCGCTATCGACGGCTCGTGTTCCTGCCAGCCTGGTTGGCATGGCGATATCTGCAACATGACGTGTCCGACGGGTTCCTATGGTGACGGCTGTTCCCAGGCATGCCTGTGCAAGAATGATGCCGTGTGTGATCATGTGACAGGAGCATGTACATGTGTGGGAAGATGGCTGGGTGCTCAGTGTCAACATCGTGAGTTGTGCTCTATCTACATGACATTTGGATGGATTTGTGATGGGTAAACAGGCACATTGTGTTAAAAATATTATGCATGTGAGGATGTAAAAGAAGGAAGTGCAACAGCGAGTTTCTCTTTGGGGAATATTTCATCCTGGCTCATTGCTTGAAGAATCTTGGGATTTGATCTCGGGGGAAGAGGATAGGGGTGGATATTAGATCGATTTTACATAGCATACTTCCTAAAGGGATGTTTTAGGCCAATGCACCTTCTCGGCTATCATCTCTGACATGGTTTTTGTGCAACTTATGTTGTCCCGTCGCATGCAGCCTGTCCCGAATGGCAATACGCCAGCAGCAACTCAACGTGTGATGACTGTGTGTGCAACCAGTCAAGCACTGATATGTAAGTCTTGTAAGATGTGCAAAGTGTTTATTTGATAACCTCAATCAAGTATTGTCTCCTCGCCGTTTGTTCAAAGTGTTTGTTGTTTCACTAATCTACTCAAGGGAAAAGAATTGGAGACAGCAACAGAACCAAAGCAGTGGGGAGAGTAGGTGCTCCAATGTGGAGCCTGTACTGGTGAGGCACACCAACAACGCCGAGACCAGAGCGTTAACTCCAGCGTGCATACCACAGGGCATAGATTACAGCGGCTAACAGGGATAGAGAAGGGAAGAGAGAGGTGGAGGGATAGAGGAAATGAAGTGATGAAAATGACTGACACACGACGGAATCACGGCTGTGGAACATGTTGGGCCTTCCACTTGACGAACCTTCAACAATGCACCACTCCCTTGCTCAATATACAGTGCTTTTGGAATTAACGCATCCATTGAACCTGGGTAAACTAATGATGCTTTTTTCAATTGGCACCAAAGTTCCTACCAGGCCCCTGTGGAATCAGTCCGGTTGGTCAGGCCATGGTCGGACCAACTTTTGGCCACCGATGTGTGTTTACTCGGCTGAGGAGGTCATGCCTACCCGTCCTGTCCAACTTAAAGTGTGAAATACCAGGGTGTGGCTGGACCAGTATAAAACTTCTTCTGCTGGCCCTGGCTACTGCATGTGCCAGTATGATTCAAATGATTATGTTCAGTAATGGCATAATATCTTTATCAGTACATCCCCCAGGCCTAGATTCCAACTTTTAGCAGACATATAACTGATGAGCTTCCTGTACTCCTCTGTCCGTTGTCCGCTGCAGCTGTGATCGCTTCACAGGTCTGTGTGATTGCAGTGCCGGCTATTCTGGAATGGACTGTGCGTACTACTGCCCACGTCTGACCTACGGCCAAGATTGCGCATCAGCCTGCGCGTGCGACAACGACGCCACTTGTGATCCGTTCACCGGAGCATGTCGATGCGCCCCGGGTTTCATTGGTGACACGTAAGCTCCAGCTGTTGGCTTTGGCACACATATCAGTTTCAGTAGTCAATTTCCTGCCTGATGGTGTAGAGAATAGGCCAAGTTGTTCATGGATAATTCATTTGGGTGTGTCAAGAAACTGGCAATCTTGTTGCATATTCAACTCTTAAATGTTAAATCACAGCCTACAGTCCATTTCAAAACTATAGACGCGTACCTAGGCAAAAACCGTTATGCCAGCATCTATACCACATAAAATCTGTGATCACTTTGTGCATAAATTTTTCCAAATTGGGCGTCTGTTATCCAATCCGTTAGAAACTATATGAGAGTAATTGTGGAGCGATCCTGAGCAGTATTCCGAAAACTATTCTCAAAAAGTTCCAGCCGAATTTGAAATATTTCAAAAACCCTAAGCGTCTATAGTTTTGAAATGCACCTAGGCAAAAACCGTTATGCCAGCTTCTATACCACATAAAATCTGTGATCACTTTGTGCATAAATTTTTCCAAATTGGGCGTCTGTTATCCAATCCTTTAGAAACTATATGAGAGTAATTGTGGAGCGATCCTGAGCAATATTCCGAAAACTATTCTCAAAAAGTTCCAGCCAAATTTGAAATATTTCAAAAACCCTACGCGTCTATAGTTTTGAAATGCACAGCTTCGTGATAACACTGAGACAGAACAATGATCTGCATGACTAACGGTCTACTATCTTACTGCACTGTATTGTTTTAAACTAGCTTTCGATAGAAGCATAGGCCTTATGCTGGAAGGACTCATCGTGGAGTGTGACTTTGCGTTTTGATTGCTATTTGCCATGATCCTTGAAAGGTGGTGGCGTTCCTACGGACACGGAAAACTCGGCCTCTAGCCGAGTCTGACACGAACCGTGATTTTTTTGCCATTACTCCATAACATGTACAGTCATGTACATGTACGCCCATGTTGTGCAGTATTTATAATAATAATAATAATAAAACAGGTCGCGTAATGAAGCAGCATAACGATAGATGTGCAAAGTCATGATGCCTGGTCCGCTTCTGTCCTGGGTTCACTACCCCGTGAAGTATTTATAATGCTGTTGAATATTGCTGTCATTGTTGTCACATATATCGTGCAGTTGCAACCAAACATGCCCTGTTGGCTGGTATGGACTGAATTGCTCAACGACATGTACATGCATCAACGGTGCAGCATGCTCTGCCAGCAACGGTACCTGTGTCTGCACCCCCGGCTGGAAAGGGGAGAACTGCTCGGAGGTGTGCGAGCAGGGTGCGTACGGACAGTGGTGTGCACTGCCGTGCACGTGCCAGAACGGAGCGGCTTGTCATCCCGTCACCGGTGCATGCACGTGTACGGACGGTTGGATTGGCGCCGTGTGCGACCAGCCTTGTCCGGTATGTCCGAATGCCAAATTGCACTTCTATTGTCACTCTTTTAACATCGTACCTGAAGCACAGTTTAATCTGTTACCAAGGATTTCTTAGATATGGAAGCCCTACCTCCTAACTGACCGGTGACTGCAATGATGGGCTAAGTAGCCAGGGCAGGTCGGAAGAGTGCTCAAGGCACCAAAACACTGAGCAGATGCTGCCTGGTGTTTTTGCTCAGTGGGTGAACTCGAAGTTATAATGAATACAGCTCCCCATCTCCTGTACTTTGTATGTTGATCATTACGGAATTTTATCTGTTATAAGTCGACCCTATATGACCTTAAAAATCTATTAAAAATGGCGGGTAGTCGACTCTCAGACAGTTTTTTTAACCAACATGGAGCCGGGAAATCTTTGCCCAAGTATGGAGGGTAGAATTATAGCCAAGGTCGACTTTCAACTCCTCAAGTATGCTGTACATGGTTGTCGTGCCTGAGTTGTCAACATACCTTCAGTAGTAGAATCTACTGTCCTTTGTGCATAGTAAGCAGCAGCAGCACTACTATCTCATTGTGGAATGTGTGTATATTAAATTTGTTTCTGTGTTACATGCGTTCAGCACCGGCTGTTCTAGACTGGTTGTCTTATTCAGTTTCCAACCTGTGAATCTTTGTTTTTTGTGTGATATTGCTTTATAGGCCAACAAGCATGGATTTAACTGTTCCCTGGATTGTCAGTGCAACGGCCGGGCACAAAATGGCTGCCACCATATCACTGGTGTCTGCAACTGCGATGCCGGATGGCAAGGTGTGTGTTTGGTTCATGGTTCACGTGCATACGGAACTGCATATCGGCATGTGTGTATGCATGTATGTTCTCACGTGTGTGTTTCACACCGAAGATGAAACGAGAGAGCTTGGAAGCTCAGGGCCCTACGCTATGCTTTTTTGCCTTGATGACCTAGACAAAAAAAAGCATAGGGATGTTATAAATTCTTTAAAAAATTCCTTTTTTTTAAAGACATAACCTGGGATTCGAACCCGCACTATCGCGCCCTGCATGCATCCCCGATACACTTCGTATACATACTAATTCTTCCAAGTTGCTTCACATTATGATCTTGCATTTGAAAGCCCTATTTGAATATGCATTGTGGCCAGCCGTCTTTGATGGTACGGTACGGTAGGGGATAGGTACGGGACAGGTACGATCGAGGGTAATACGACACCGTCTCCCGTACCGTACCGTACCATCAAACACAGCTGGCCACATATAGGTGCCCGCAATATTCAAATAGGGCTTTCAAACGCAAGATCATAACGTGAAGCAACTTGGAAGAATGGGTATGAATGCGAAGTGTATGGGGGAATGCATGTAGGGCGATAGTGCGGGTTCGAATCCCAGGATATGCCTGAAAAAAAAATAGGAGAATTGAAAATTTATAACATCCCTATGATTTTTGCCATCAGATACGGGATAGCGCCAGGCGTGACACAAACAAACAAACACACAAATACCAAATTAAAGCTGTGTGGACCCTGGCTAGCGCCAGACGTTACTGAAATAACGTCTTCTGCATAGCTACGGGAATATTATGATCTGTGTTCGATCTATGAACAATACGCCCAGCAATCAGAGAGTAGCTTCAAAGCTTGGCATTCATCAGCAATAGATGTTGAGGATATATGTTGGACTCAGTAGAGCGTCCAGCCCCTATATGATGTCCAACCCCTATATAGAGTCCATTGGTCCAAAATCCACTGTACAGAGTCCAAACTTGGAATCAACTGTGAGCTCAAAGTTTCGATGGACATCACTCCCTGTATAGAGTCCAGCCAATTGGCTTCACCCCTATATAGAGTCCATTGGTCCAAAATCAACTGTACGGAGTCCAAACTTTGAAATCAACTATAAAGAGTCTTTATGTGGACAACACCCCCGCCCCTGTATAAAGTCCAGCCAATTAGGCACCCCCTATCGAGTTTGAAAATAGACATAGGATCTGCTGTAAGCAGTGAATATTAACCAGAAAACGGCCTCTCCCTTTAATCCTTTACATCATGCACTTCTCAAGATAAAAAAAATATGTATTGAGGCGCCACTGCAGCCACTTCATTACATGAAAAACCCAACAAACACCATCCTCAAATCAAGTGGTCTCTTCGCAGACGCTGCAAATTACAACATCTCAATCATGTAGTGTTGCCAAATTATTGTGCACGCACACACACATGCACACACCCACACAACGCCAAGAAAATAACTAGAAAAAAACCAAGAATCGAAAGAGAATAATGGAGAGCCCAGGATTAATATTTGTTTTCAAATTATTGTGCGCGCGCGCGCACACACACACACACTCACACACACACACACAAACTTATACAACGCCAAGAAAACACCAAGAAAAGAGTAGAGACACAATACACACGCAACTCCAACAGCCATGCAAACGTCCACCCATTTACATGTAAAGTCAAGAGGGATAACAAATAACTATACGAAACGAATGCATATGGGGACGGGTACACGCACGTTTACATACACGTAGTAGTGTAAGAGAGTAACATAGTGCAGTGGTCAGCATAATACTAGCACATGCTGAGAGTGCAATAGCAAGCTTCACCATTGCTCATGGCCATGCAAATGTTCAGCAGCACTCAGTTCCGCAAGCTTCTGAAGATCAGCACACCTGCAACAAATAGATAGCACAAGGATACGCTTATTACCGTAATGATGCATGGGAGCACACAACTACCAAGTTCTCAACGAATGTGATGCTCAATGTAAATCAATCCACTCAAAGACCTGTGAACAGGTGATGGTGGGGACAATAATCTATTAGTAATACGAGGAATAAGATCGTTTGTGCACACTCAAGACGCACAGACACACCAACATACATGTAGTGTACACAGTGTTTCACTTCACTGCAACTAAATTGAAATGAGATCATTTGAACAATCTGTACAGCGTTGCTGTCAGTCAGTCTTCCCCAAGATGGAAATGCAATGATTTGTTGTCACGAGGCAGTTTCACTGACACAATGTCATGTTGGTGACATCAAAACGGTTACTTCAGGGAATACGAGTATTAGCTTGAGAAGCTTTTTTGTCATTGGCATACAAGTAATCCTCCTAGTCCTACTACTACTACTACTACTACAGTCCATTTCAAAACTATAGACGCGTACCTAGGCAAAAACCGTTATGCCAGCATCTATACCACATAAAATCTGTGATCACTTTGTGCATAAAATTTTCCAAATTGGGCGTCTGTTATCCAATCCTTTAGAAACTATAATTGTGGAGCGATCCTGAGCAATATTCCGAAAACTATTCTCAAAAAGTTCCAGCCAAATTTGAAATATTTCAAAAACCCTACACGTCTATAGTTTTGAAATGCACTGTAGTACACTGGCACTGCGTTTGTGGATCCCATTGTATTTGACATCTTACTACAGGAAGAGTGTCGTGGAGTTCACATAATTATCACAGGGATAAACTTGAATACATTTCTCATGAAATAAAATAATAATTGATGATAGCTAGACGATCATATACGATTGATGCAAAGTCCTTGCAGTCCTTGAGGACTATCACGAAGTGGTTGATTACTTTTAGGGCATTCATTCAAGCAACATCATTCATCAAACAAACGCGATACGCTCCTTGAAAATGGAAAAAAAATTCAAGCATAACGACAGAACAGCAGACCAATCGAAACGAGTAAAAGCTTCCTTACCTCAGTCATCGTCCTGCCATGTAGTTGGACAGCCTTTTGACACGGTGGTACAGGCAGCTCTTGTCCAGTCAAACAGGGGTATCCTTGTGGCGTCGAACGAAAGAGAGTGTCAGTGTATCTGACTCGTCAGATTGCAACTGTGCTGAACTTTTCTCTTTCTCCGCTTTCTGCTTTCATCCCTCGCTCTGATGAAACCGTTCAAACGTCTTACTGGCAGCAATGGCCAGCCAAACAGGGGATCCTTGTGGCGTCGAACGAAAGAGAGCGTCAGTGTACCTGACTCGTCAGATTTGAACTGTGCTGAACTTTTCTCGTTCTGCAATTTCTGCTTTCATCCCGCGCACTGATGAAACGTCTTCAGAGAACCACAAGACGCTTTCCAGATTTGATTTTGAACGTCTCCTTATCCTCCTTGGTTAGCTCGAGACAGATTACTGTCAGCAACTGCACAGCAGAATTGGCAGCCATGGCTGAAGTGAAGAAAGGAATGCGCTGCCACGAGGCAAGCAAAACTGAAAATGTGTTCTCTTTCGGGCACAACACACAGGACGGCGTGACTGGATAAACTGGACTCCTGGACTGTGAATAGGGGACTTGTAGAAAAAGTGTACTCCTTATAGCCTGGGATTGCGCGGCAGGATGAAGCTGATCAAAACTGAGTGGACTCCTGGACTCTGTATAGTGGATTTTGGACCAATGGACTCTATATAGGGTGCTGGACATCATATAGTGCATGGACTCTATACTGAGTCCTACATATAGTCCTCTTTAGATTTCCACCAAGATTTGGTATTAGAATCATGTGCACAAAGTCTGAAAGTCACAAAGCCTTTACTACATAATGGAATTGTTGTGTGCTGTATGTTCTTGTTTGGACAGGTGACCGTTGTGAGTCACCATGCAATGGGACAGCATATGGTCTGAACTGTGCACAGGCGTGTCTGTGTGAGAACGGCGCACTGTGTGATCCGATCACTGGAGAGTGCAACTGCTCCACCGTGTCCGGCTGGACGGGTGTCAACTGCGAGGAAGGTAAGAGTAATTATGTGAACATGCTCGCTGTAGTGTTTGGTGCAGCATGCATATCTTGTTGACCTCAACATACATGGACACTAAAAAAAGTTGTGGACATCACGCAACTGCATCATAAAGAAAAGGGGGTTTGTCAACTGACAACCGCTCTATTCACTTGCTATTCAAAATGGCCGCATGCGCTGAATGAAAAATTATGTATTGTGATATGCATGGAGTTGTTGCAAGCCTGTATATTACCCACAGTGGATTGGGTGTACTTGTCATGTTCTGTTGTTCACTGAGTTCAAGCTAAACTCAAACTGTTCTCCTCTTGTTACATGCTGCGATAGGGTTTGCTGCACAAACATGCAGAACTGTTCACAGACGGTGGACAGAAATGGAGCAAGTTGTTTATTGTCGCTCAGTTTCATACCTACAAGGCACAATCGATCACATGTTTGTGTAAAATTACACTTGGTCCGCTTGGTACACAATGAATATTATAAATAAGTTTGCCAATACCGAAAATCAAAGTACCCTGTGTCTGTTTGCTCCTCATGTGTGTGTGTGTGTGTGTGTGTGTGTGTGTGTGTGTGTGTGTGTGTGTGTGTGTGTGTGTGTGTGTGTGTGTGTGTGTGTGTGTGTGGGTGGGTGGGTGGGTGTGCGTGTGCGTGTGCGTGTGCGTGTGTGTATGTGTGTGTGTGTGTGTGGGGGTATGTGTGTGTGTGTGTGTGTGTGTGTGTGTGTGTACTTGTGTGTGTATGTGTGTTGTGTGTGTGTGTGTTTTTGTGTGTGTTGTGTGTGTGTGTTGTACAGTTTGTCCAATTGGACAATGGGGTGCCAACTGTACATCATCGTGTTCATCGCTGACTTGTCCGGCTCATTCCGGTGGTCTATGTTATCCGGACACTGGAGAGTGTGCTTGCCCCATGGGAAGCAGGCCACCCAACTGTAGCACATGTGAGTGTTTGGAACAGACATGGAATTGTTATTATTTAGGGCAGATATATCATGAACCTTTCTGTAGAATTGGAAGAACCTCAAATTCAATGTAAACAGTCAGTGAATGCATGAGCTGCTAGAAAACGCCAACTCAGCCAAGACTCGAGCCTGGGACCTCGCTAGTCTTGAGCAATCATCGCGGTTTTAGCCATCTAAGCTATGGAACCAGGCCGAAACTAGAAGGTGCTGAAAAATCATCACGTGGCCCGCGAATCTGAGTCACGCGTGACACTCGGGAACAAAATAGAGCTCACGAATCCTCTTTCTAGTGTCCCCTGCAAACGATGGAAAAAATATGCATTGGCCGGGAATCGAACCCGGGCCCCCCGCGTGGCAGGCGAGGATTCTACCACTGAACCACCAATGCTCCGACGGATGGTAGTGTTTGCCACAGTGGAAATGTGATGTGCACAATATGAGAGAAAGGTTCATTTTGAAGAATGCGGTATATGGGTGTAACTGCAACGTACCTCATATGCATTCAGCCTAACATCACAAATAACTGGTGAAGAAAACATCAAAATTCAATGTTGTACCCAAACCACTTGGTTGTGAATAAATAAAATAGCAAATAAATAAGTCTACACGTTGCTTGGCTAGTGCAGGTGGCAGATGCATACTGGTGGATCTGTGATGCACGGCATAGCTAGGTATACGGTTTTGAGTGGCTGAGCCATTAGTGGCTCCTGATATGCACTTATCTATGATCTTCTGAACTTCGTTGTTGTGTTACAGCCTGTGAGCCTGGTCAGTTTGGCTTGATGTGCCTGGAGTCTTGTGTGTGCAAGAATGGTGCCGAGTGTGAGCCGACCTTGGGAAACTGTAGCTGCAAAGCGGGATGGAAGGGCGATGATTGCAATACAAGTGAGTACTCAGATCCCATATGTATTAACCCTTTGTGTACTGACCGTACAACTTTAGATCCCCTGGGATCGAAACTTTTCTAACTTTCATTCGATCGTAACTCAGTCATTCCCGGGTTAATTCCACAGACTTAAGTTGTAGATCGAAGAGAGAAAAAAGCAGCTGTCCATTGAAACAATCATTGGAGCGCTCCGACGTGCGGGCCCAGAGTTACGAAGCTCGAAAGTCGAGTCACGGGAAATCTCATTCAATAGCCTCGTGCGCAGATTTGAATGAGGGATTTCCTTATCACTTTGGACATGCAGTGGCGTAGGAACACGTTCAAAATCGCATTTTCCAACCATGTCCATTTCCAAAAAAATTCCCGGATAGAACTTTTCAAGTCGCAGTCCTGTAATCAATTCCATTTGCTCCAAATTGCAATATTTGGACAACAATGTAAAAGTAACGTTCTCGAAATTTAAGGACGGCATTGCAGGCAGCCACTACGGCTGGTGGAGGATGTATGGAGCAGTGGAGAAGGTCCACATCTGAATTTTACTGTAATCCCAGGTGTAACAGTAGGAAAAGATTTCACATGCTCAGTTGTGATAATAGGAGTCCTTTTCTGGACTGGACCTTGCCTTGCATGTATGCAGTTTGCCCAATCGACAGGTGGGGAGAGTTTTGCACCAAGACGTGTGACTGTGTACAAGGAGAGGGTGGCTGCGCTCCGACCACCGGCAGTTGCATTTGTCGACCAGGAAGAACTGGCACGATCTGCGATGAAAGTAAGTGCACCTGTACCAGCTAAAAGCTAGCATTGGTGAACACAACAAAGGTGTTTGTATCTTAGTCTAAAGTCATTGGATAGACGTGTGTCGGATATGTTTTTGATTACTCAAAGTTACTCATAATCAATATTATCATTCTTTGGTTTGATGGAAAGGTGAAAACAGGAAATCAGTATAAATATGTTAATACTAAAGGCACTATGCAATGATGTCATTCATTGAGGTATTTGTATGCAGTGACGTCATGATAACTCTTTTGCCACAGGCACTCCATGCACAACTTGTTTCCTTCGAAGTAACATCGTGCCATGTTGTCAGAACAAAGAGATCAATGGGTCTTCTAACTATTCTTTGTTTGTACAGCATGCAAGCAAGGAACGTTCGGCTTCCGCTGTGGTCAAACATGCGAGTGCTACAATGGCGCCACTTGTGATCCAGGCAATGGTGCATGTACATGCGCGGCTGGATGGACTGGCTTCAAGTGCACAATTCACCTGGATGTTGAGGGTGAGAAACTATAATTGCTGCTCCAAATCATATCATAATGTGTCGTGCAATGTTATCGCATGAGCTGATTGTTTAGTAACTGGTGGTGTTAGTGGACAGTATAGCGTAACTTGTAGTTCCTTGGTTCTTCTCTTTTGTATAAATGAAAACATTGTTTTGCTATCGCGGTCCTCGGGGAACTGCTCCTGAAATGTGTGTGAAAAATGTGGGTCATAAAGGTGCCCGTTAGTTGGATGTGCCCGTATTAGGGCCGTCCGTATCTGGGGACTTTTACTGTATGATCCACCTATCCGTACGTGTATATGGGAAGGCATATTGCAATCTTACACCCTCTACAGCTGAGACTACGGAGGTCGCCATGGTTGCGACGGGCGAGGACGAGGGCGTGACGGAAAACCAGGTGACCGGCAGCACTAGCAACACGATCTACATCATCATCGGCGTGGCGGGCGGCGCCGTGCTCATTCTCATCGTAGCCATCATCACCATCACCTGCAAGTACAAGAAAGCCAATAAGGCTTACAAGTGAGTTTTGCGAATCTCCGGACGTGTGCATTGTTAGTCACGCTAGGGCTTGGGCCATTGGCTTGGTTCACTGGTAGTCAAATCATACAAAAATGGGAATAAAAAAATTGCTCCCTTTTCTAGTAAGGGGGGGGGGGAGGAGGGATGGGGGGGGGGGGGGTGGAATTTCACTCACAGGACTTTTAGCATTCACTTGGTTGACTGTGGTCGTGAAATTATTCAAAATATTGGAGTAAAAAATTGCTACCTTATCTAGTCAGAAGGGGGGGGGGGGGATTTCACTCGCAGGATGCATCAGAGTATATACAAGCCAGCTACCAGATGGTTTATGGCTTTTTTATGGAGCTAAAATCTAAAATAATCTAAAATCTTCATGTGTGAAATGTTCCTCTGGCTTGGTATACTGCAGGCTCAGTGATCATCCAACAGCTTCCTATCACCGAGGAACATCAGGGGAAAATGCCAATGGAAATGCTTAGTAAGCTTAGCATGCCGCCATAGACCACTTTTTCTATAATCATAATTATCTCCAGTGACACTCGAATGTTGAGCCAATAGTATTATGTAAAGAGAAAGGTCATATACTGTAACGAGTTATGCGGACTAACACTATCTGATTGCATATTATTATCTCGTTACCTTCGTGGACTGCTAGTCATAACATAAGATCTCTCGCTTTTCCTGCTGACAAGTGCAGAAAAGTCGTAGGAGTAGGAAGCAAGTTTTTTAGCTCCTGCCTTTCCATCTATGGAATAGCCTTTCGGCCACTTTTGTAAGTATAGGTGGACCTGGAACTAGTCCCAGCCCTAATATGGTGGAGAACTCAAATATGGACCTGGCCTTGCTGCTGGATGGGGAGATTCGTGACTTGGCCAAAAAGTCAGGACTTGCAGGTGTGGACTCGTTGGCCCGACCGGACCTTGTACTTCAACTTCGCGCCATGGACATCGGCAAATCAGGTATGCCAGCGCTAGTGAGCTCTATCAGTGCACTGTCCTCGACTATCACTGCATTAACTGTGGAAATGGTATCCCTCAGGGAGGACAGGGATAGGGAAGTTAGAGAAATGAAAGCAACCATTGATGGCCTCGTGGCGAAGATGATACACCTTGAGGAAGGCGGGAGTCCAAACCTGATTGCACAATCTACAACCCCGAGTACAACGTACAGTAGTGTAGCTAGTTCAGGTAGTACAGGGGCTGGGGTGAGGGAAACCGTCACTCGGACTCGTACTCCCCCCAACGCACACTCTACCAACCGTACCCGCACTTCCCAAACATCGACACATGTACACCAGACCTCATCACGCACTGAAACACCACCGGCTGCACCAACCAGATCAACATTGGCTACAACTAGTACAAGTGAAAATACGGGAAGCAGTTCGGATGGCTGGGCCGAAGTTGTACGGCGTCGGGTCACGTCCCGGTACGTGAAGCCTGTGGCCCCAGCTAACCCCAACATCCTTACAGGCGTAGAAAAAGTCGCGAAATCTGTGTTCTACGTGGGCAATGTCCACATGGAGTGTAGCGCTAACGCAATTACTGACTGGTGCAAGGACCGTGAGGTTGAGGTGCTCAATTGCAGTATTAGCGAATCCCGGACCTTTGGCACAGCATATGCACGACTGACGGTCCTAGCGACGGATGAAGGCAAAATACTCAGTGCAGGATTTTGGCCGGCAACAATTAGCCACACCGTCCGTAAGTGGCGCTTTGCCGACGGTACCAATGTGACTGAACGTGGTGGTGATAGTTCCTCGTCATAATCATGTTGTCTATGTCTTCCCTCAACTTGCATGCTACCCCATTCTACCCCAGATCAGAATCCGACCTAACGCTGATAACCATGAATTGTCGGTCTCTCGTCAATAAATTAGCTGAACTTTCGATTGTTCTGGAGAGCACTAAGCCAAGTATTGTTTGCCTCACGGAGACCTGGCTGTGCCCATCTGTTTCCGTGCATGTACCGGGCTATTCCTGTTTCAGAAGAGACAGACCAGCACACGAGAACAGAAATGCACACTCCTTCACTAGAGGATATGGTGGTGTCGCGGTGCTTGTCCGGACTGATGCTTTTCAACATATTCTCCACAGGCCCGACCTGCAGCGTCAGGGCTGTGAATCTACCTGGGTGGAAGTTAAGTCTCAATGCACCCCTAACCCTATTCTTGTATGTTGCATGTATCGACCCCCTTCCCAAACGGCGGTACAATTGTCCTTCTTCTCGGATATGCTGGTCGATGCTATACAGTCCTCTTGCTATGACGAGTGTGACTTCTTCCTGACGGGGGATTTTAATGCCAAACATAATGATTGGTGCTCTTCTGACTCCACCTCTACAGCCGGTACCAACCTACTGACAGTTTTTTCAATGCTTGGGCTCCAACAACTAGTGAGTTTCCCAATATACACTTCATCAGCGGGTGCCAACTCATGTCTTGACTTGTTGGTAACCAACAAACCCCAACATGTCCTCTCAGTCGACCACGCAGCTCCTCTTGGCACATCTGATCATCTGCAGGTTGTTTGTACGCTCAACTATGCATCGTGCTCGACACCACAAGCGACTGCTAAATCGTCCCTCCATCCCCAGGCTCAGTACAGGTATAAACAAGTGCCTACCCATGTCTGGCAGGTTGTGAATGAAGACTTGTCTAGGTTGGACTGGTCATTACTTCATCGGCATTCTGATGTTGATGATGCCATTGTCCTGTTTGATGCTTTACTACAGTCAGCATTCCATCGTCATCTGTTGCCTTACAAAGTTATTCCGCGGACAGGAGACTACATTAGGCCTCGTCCTACTATGCGGGATGCATCCCGACCCTGGATCACTCCGGACCTCAAGTGTGCTGTGAAACTGAAGCGAGATTTGTATAGCATTTATAGGAAGTATCCAACCAGTGAAAACTTCATTGCCTTTAAGCGCAAGCGTAACGAAGTGAAATGTTTGTCACGTACCCTCCATCGTCAGTATGTACAGTCGGTTCATGCCACCCTGTCTTCCCATGATCGCCCTAGTCTCCATCAATTTCTCCGCCATCTCCGTAAGAACTGTAGTCGGGAGCCGATCCGATCAATGACAGCTTCAGACGGCACGGTAGCAACAGATCCCGCAGACATAGCAGACATATTGAACACGCAGTTTACGTCGTTTGGACTTCCTGACGACCCTACGTGGCCTATACCACCACTCACCCCTTCACCCTCAATACCTGCGTCCCTCCTATCATTGTCGACTGGTACAGCCCAAGTGAGGAAATATCTCCGTAATCTGAAAACTGGCAAGTCCCCTGGTCAAGACGGAATTACCAACGAAGTTTGGAGAGCTCTTGCTCCGTCTGTTGCCTATCCTGTGTCAATTATCTTGAATATGTCATTTCGTGAAGGGAAATTCCCAGCCATGTGGAAAACTGCGGTAGTCGTGGCCACCTACAAAAATAGAGGACCACGCACCACCCCCAGCAACTATCGCCCTATCTCATTGCTCTCTACTTTATCAAAAGTGTGCGAACGTGTTGTATATGACATCATTTATGATCATGTTCGCATTTCACTTTCGCCAGCACAGTCGGGCTTTTGTCGGGGTGACTCCACCAGGTACCAGGTTACCCGCCTCGTGCAAGACATCCACACAGCCCGGAACGCCCATAACCATGTTGGTTTAGTTTTCTTCGATCTCGCAAAGGCCTTCGACACTGTTTGGCACAGGGGTCTCTTAGCTAAGCTGCGAACAGTATATCGCATTGATGGCAAGGCTATCGGCTGGCTCTCATCGTATCTCTCTAACCGACATCAGCTTGTACGCCTCTCAACTGTGTTATCGGAGCCTTTACCCGTTACTTCTGGAGTCCCCCAGGGTTCAATACTTGGGCCACTGCTATTTCTCCTGTATATTAATGACCTCCCCGATACTGCCCCTGGTGTCAGCCTTTTCGCTGATGACACAGCTCTGCTTTGCTCCAATGCTTGCCCTATACGCCTGCACAAAGCCATGCAAGATAGCATTGGGAAAGTTATAACCTGGATGCATGATTGGAAGTTGCAGCCAAACGTTGATAAAACGGCAGCTATGTACATTTCCCCCTCTCCCCCTTCCCTGCCACTTTGTTTTCCTTCTTCAAGTGTTGCTATTCGCATTGTTGAAGAGCATAAGCATCTTGGCGTTATTATTGACTCTAAATTGTCGTGGTCACCCCATGTGCAGTATGTCTGCAAGCGCACAAGCTCCATCCTTGGGGCTCTTCAAGCCCACTGTAGACATCTTCCTCTTTCTTGCAAACGCTTGCTTTATCGTTGCTATATATTGCCCTTACTTGACTACTGTGATACTGCTTGGTGTGGCATAACTACTACTGTATTGAACAAGCTAGAAACCCATAACCGCATGCTCCTTAAAATCTTATTTAGCAAAGATCGTCGCTTTCCCTCCGCTAGTCTTTACGAAATTGCCAAGATCAGTCCCCTTTCCACTCGACATAAGTACCACCTCTGTGTTCTCATACATAAAATATTACTAAATAAAATACCCTTGCATATGCAGGCTTATAATTGGTTCTCCGAAACACGGAACACCCGGAACTCACTCAGTCTCCCACGCGCTGCCTCCACCCTATTCACTAGATCCCCGATCTTTGCTGGCTATGTGTTTTGGGCAACATTACCAACGCAGGCCAAGACCAGCACGTCGATGGATAATTTTGTTGCTAAAATCTCTGCTCAATTATAGGTTTCATGTATATCCTGCTGGTTTGTCTCCTCCTTTGCCTTCTTTGCCTCTTATTTGTATTCTTTTATCTGTTTTACTGCTGTGGTTGGCTTTCACCCTTGTCTCAGTTTTATTGGCCGTCATCATGATGTGCCATGAGATAATGATATAAATACAAATACAAATAACTCGTGACTGTATAGTTCTTTTCTCTTTGTCTTCAATGGCAAACCTTTTTCAATGGACAAGATTCTGTCTACAAATACAGTCAATCTCACTAATACAGAGCACAAGAAACACACGCCCTAGGATTCAATAAGGACATGCTCACCCTGTCTTCACGACAATGTGACAGTTCAATCCGTACGTATGGCTATGGGATTCAGAGCAAACACACTCACCTTGGTTATATTCACCCCTAGACTCAAAAAGAAAGCACTCGCCATGGATTCACGCAAAATACTCACCCCTTTGGGCACAGCCTTTCGCCTCCCTTGCTTCTGTATACTGGTCTGCACATTTATACACTGGGCACTCCGCTCTGAGCTGCAGCATCTTCGAAATACACCTTTCGTTATGCATGTGCCATGTGGCATGTCATGTCAAATACTCACCCCCTTAAGCACAGCTGTTCGCCTCCGTTGTTTGTGTATACTGCTCTGCACATTTGTATACTGAGCACTCTGCTTCGAGCTTTTAAGCAAAACCAAAAGTATTGGGTAGGCTGTGCTGCATCATCTTCAAATACTCCTTTTGTGATGTACCTGTGCTGTGCCATGGTATTCGACTGTGTTTGCAGTGAGGATGAAGTGGTCATAAATCACTACGGCGAGTCCGGGCAGTCGCCACCAGAATCGCCTGCTCTGGAAAACCCGCAGTACTGGTCGTCGCAGAACACTGGCCAGGACAAGGACAACACGATGGCCTTGTATAACACCGCAGATCCGACTGCAAATGTTGGATCGGGTAAACCGCCCATGGCTCGTTACCAGAACACCATGCCGGCCCATGCCAGCACTGCTCAACAGCAGCAGTATCAAAACACCACGGTTGATGGATTGCCAACTGGCAGCAACACCTTGCCAGGTAAGTTTAATGCTGTAGATATCGCAGAGGAGATCTACCCGTAGGCCCTTTTACGTGTACAGGCGGTCCTTTGCGCGTAGTGTGTGATTGTGTGTGTGTGTGTCCCATATGGTGCAGTGGCATGTGCAGCGATTTCCAATCGATAGGTTGCGGGTTCCATTCCCGACGATTATGGTCACACACATCTTTCTTCTCTTTCTCAGACTCTTCCTGACTTTTCTTTCATTCTCCTGGGTGGTAACAGCCAGTGCATGCCAGAGTATGTGGTGTGATGTGTGTGCAGGGAAAAAATGAAAAAGACCAAAAATAGGGATTCACTGGCCAGAAAAAGTCATTTCAAATAGCTGTATGGTGTAGACCAGGCTGAATAGTGACGGTCAATTCTTCAGCCTTGCAAGCTGTCGAATGGTGGAATCCCAGCACAAGTTGCTATGGCTTCTGCCGTAGTATTGCTATCATCGCCTCCGGCGATGGGCGTCAAAAGGTCAAAAGGTGTGTGTGTGTGTTTGTGTGTGTGTGTGTGTGTGTGCGTGTGTATGTGTGTGCGTGTGTGTGTGTGTGTGTGTGTGCGCGCGCACGTGTGTGCGTGTGGGGGGGGGGGATGGGGTGTGCTTGCTGCGTGTGTGTGTGCGGGGGGGGGGGGGGAGGGGGAAGGGTGTGCTGGTGTGCTTGCTGCGTCGGTCTGTGGGTGGTTGCTTGCATGCTTGAATGTGGGCATGGACCTGATGCTGTCGTGTCCTCTCAACAAGCCTTGTCATGTAGATAGCACACCAAATCAGCAAATGTTCACGGTCCCGTTGTCCCGTTATTGAACCCTTTTCAATATCAGTGCGAGGATACAAAATAGTAGCAAAAAGAAACATGATACAGCAGGACAGCAGCTAGTGCTCCTTATTGGGATCTAGTGGAGTACTGGAGTGTATGGTACATTGCGTAACACATCTAGATAAGGGATGAATCAATACAAGAGCCATACTGTAATGGATAGTCAATACCTATAAAGAGAAGGGACAGCACATCGTGTCAATGGAACCATACAGTGCACACACATACAGTAAAACCTGTGACTAACGACCACCCCCTGCCCTTGGGGTCAGAGAAAGCGGTCTTAAGTGGCAGGTGGTCCTTAGTTAGAGGTTTGCGCCGCACAACCATAATACGAATGTGAGACCGTCCGTGCCTGGCGAAGTGGTCTGTAGTACCAGGCTGTTCGCTAGTCACGGTGGTCTTGAGTTACAGGCTTTACTGTACAAGATAACATGGCAGTGTCGTGTGCCTACGAGGTGAATGGGCGGTAAGGCGTGCCATTTTTCAACCACTCGTTCAGAGTCACTGTCATATGAGATGAACCACACGTCGAGAGTAGTCATCTCAGTTGCCAGACCGTACTTCAACATGCCTTCTTACCAGTACAGTACAGTATCAACAGAAGCAGGTTTTGCTTGGTCCAACCATACCATAGTCTTTCATACGTAGTGCGTGATCATAGTGATAACTCGTCGTTGCCATCTTTGCTTTCGTGGAGTGTGGCTGGTGAACTGTTCGTGCTGTGGTCTGCAAGCGTCGTGTGGTCTTGTCTCGGGTCAAATGAAAATCCTATTACCACAGTCATAGTGATAACATTATAACCTCTTCACCAGGAAGTTCTAGTGGTGAAACGAATGTCAAAACCTAGTAGCCGAATATTCTTTGGCTTAACGAACGGATATTCTTTTGATAACACAGATGACATCACATGACCTCCTCTCAGTCATTTGATGGATGTTGTCATTGTTATTAGGTATGACAAACGGTAGTGCCACATAAAATGCACCACCACATAAGGCTACTTCGAAGTTTATACGTGTTATTTGCAACATTGGCAGTCCAGCATGCACATGCATGTGCAAACATGCAGTACAAAGTCACAGGCAGGCTGTACGCACTGCACAGTACTGTGTTTGGCGTGCACGTATGTACATGCACTGCATTCGAAGTGACGTCACGAATACTCGAATGCGACTTAAAGAATATTCGGATGTGACCAACCGAACGAATGTTCGAATATTCGAATGTTCGAATATTCGAATGTTCGAATGTTCGAATATTCGTTTCACCACTACCAGGAACCCTGCGTTAGTTGCCAACAGGTTGGTCCGGTGATGACGTGAGCAATTGGACCGGTTCCGACGGGCCTGCAGAATGACCACCCTTTAACAAACTGCTTGTAGTACAAGCTCCGTTCTGGGTGGGCGATTAATTAAACAAACTATTACAGTAAAACCTGGTGTAAGCGACCTGTGTGTTTAGTGACCACCTGCTCTTAATGACCTTTTTTCCATGCAGCGACAGTTCTACACAGACACTGTGGGACCTGGTTCTAAAGACCGCCTGGCTTTAAAGACCGTTTTTGCTTGCACCGTTGGGTGGTCGCCTAACCCAGCTTTTACTGTAGTCATATTCATTGAATCTGTATTCTATGATCACTGATTTTCCTGTTGCCACAGCTGGCAGTCCCACATATCAAACCGTGCCAGGCCTTGGACAGCAGCGTCCGGTGACGGTGAATGTGGCCACACTACCTGGCCGGGTGTCCGTCGATCACAGCTACCAGGAGCTGCACCGCAAGGACAGCCTCCCGCTGGGCGATTCGTCCGTGCCCGTCCAGTACAGCATGCTGCAGCGGGACGACTCGGAGCGCGGTGCCACTGCCACGGGCAACGCGTCGGGACGTGCCTCCACAAGGAGTGCGCATACGTCCACGGCTGCACACGACGATCAGTACGACCATCCTGCGCCTAAAGGTCACCTGTCCCGTCAGCAATCCGCCCAGGCCAGTACCAAGTCCATGCAGCACGGCAACGTGTCCATGGAGAGCTACGAGCACATGGACAGCCCCCACGCGAGAAGGGCCAACTCTCGCTCTGCCCTGCTGACCAATGCCGCCGCCGTGCCCGAAGCCGACGCGCAGTACAATGTCCTGTCCCATGCCAGCCAGGCACGTCCAGCTCAGGATGGAAGCCAGTATGCAATGCTGAAGAGGACGGGCTCGACGCAAGAAGCCTACGACGTGCTGCGGAAGGGCACCTAGTACCACGACAAGACGTGGAGAGACGGAGGTGGAGAGAGAAACATAGTGAGCCAACTACTGCCTGCTCAGATACTTAACAGAACATCAGGCATGGAGCTTACTAAGTGTGGAGTGTGCTAAGCCTGTCATTTATCCGGCACAGAAAAGTGAGCTAAATTCACCCATTGTGAGTAGATATTTTGTTCCCGGTTCTCTCTCCCCATGTTTACCCAGTGCCATACAAGTGCATGGTGAAAGAAAACACCCAGTGTAGCATGAGCGCAGGCAAAGCCATGGGGATGGGTGTGTTGAAATGCTTTTTTTTACAATTTTATTTTGAGTTGTAGGTTAGGTGGGATATTCTGGGTGTTGGCGACCGTTGTGAGTTTCCTCGGCAAATTTAGTTCCATTTTCTATGATGACCTGGATGTACGAATCGACCAGGGAGCTGTGCAGCTCCCTGGACTCGACCTTTTATTTGGCTAAGACGCATTCAAGCATTACAAGTGACATTTAACAATCTCTTTGTCAAAACTTGAGGTAAAATTAGTATGTAGCGCTTGAGTTTTATAGGCATTTTCACTCACCTTGCTAATCCCAGCTCTCAAGCCTTGACGCATGCTAGTGAACTACATGCCTTCATTCCTTTATTTTTTGCTGGCATGATTTCTAGCTACTTCAGACTACTCAAATTATATATTCTACATCGTTTCCAAAGACTAGACCGAGACTCGTTCGCAAATTCTTACTAGCTCTCATCCACACACACACACACACACACACACACACACACACACACACACACACACACACACACACACACACACACACACACACACACACACACACACACACACACACACACCAACACACACACACACACACACACACACACACACACACACAATCTCTATGTTTGACTTTCAAAGAAACTATAAGCCAATCTTCCTTCTCGCTTCAATCGCTTCTGGACCCTCATACATGTACATAGCCTACCTTCGTCTTGGAGTCAAAAACCAAAAAGCCTAAGTGCCCCTTTTATCACATCCTGATCACAAATTGAACAATTTCGTGTGGTAAAGACACACCTGGCTAACTGGCGATAAACAAACGCCTGCCCACACAAGCTGGCTACGAGTTAGCCCACAAAGTTATGCTGTAGCTGCTGTTGTTGTTGTTGTTGTTGTTGTTGTTGTTGTTGTTGTTGTTGTTGTTGTTGTTGTTGTTGTTGTTGTTGTTGTTGTTGTTGTTGTTGTTGTTGTTGTTGTTGTTGTTGTTGTTGTTGTTGTTGTTGTTGTTGTTGTTGTTGTTGTTGTTGTTGTTGTTGTTGTTGTTGTTGTTGTTGTTGTGGTGGTGGTTGTTGTTGTTGTGGTTGTTGTTGTTGTTGTTGTTGTGGTGGTGGTTGTTGTTGTTGTGGTTGTTGTTGTTGCATGGCAGACGAAGGGTATTGCAGGTACTTGAAGTATGCAGTTATCTTCTACAGACAGCCGTTTTAAAAGAATTATTTACGAGGAGAAAGCAAACAAATGATCACCACGAAGAGCAAAAGACTCACAAGGATTATGACATTTTCGCCCAATATCTGACACCATTTGCCACAATTTTTCAGAGGATCCATGAAAGGCTTCGTTGCCATAGTACCCAACATGGCGCCCAGAAGTTCACACTGTACATTGTACATGCCATCCAGGATAGTGTTACTTGCAGTTGCACTTCCCCAGCCCAGCACTAGCCTTTTTAGAAGCGCACTCGTCATGTACATGTACATGTACAGTGATTTGTGTGTTCAGTTGCGCTCAAAAGTGAAAATACAGGACTTCATTTTGGCTGCTTTTCGGACATACATGTATCCTTTCTCGGACCGGGTTTCGGAAGAGCCTTCAAAAATCGGACACTGTCCGAAAAATCGGACTGTTTGGCAGCACTGATTTAACTATGTACTACTGGCTGTGCTGCAGAAATCCAGTCGCGTCGGGCGTTGCGCAACCCTTACATGTACCTGCGGACACCGGGCTGCGAAATGGTGCAAGGCGCCGCCACTTGAGACGAGTGACGCGACTGGATTTCATTGAGCAGCACCAAGAGGCACGAGCCATGAGGACTGAGTCTGAGTATTAGATCTACCAAGATTATTCTCTCACTTCAAGGGGCGAGCCTTTGTAAGTTTTGACCAGGGAGTCGTATTATTACACGACTCCCTGGTTTTGACACAAAACAGGAGTGCGACATCTGAGAGGTTTTCGATTGGATCGCGAAGTCAAGTGGCCAGCTACTACTACGTGTAGTACTAGTACTAGTACAGTAAAACCTGTAACTAACGACCACCGTGACTAGCGACCGGCCTGGTACTACCGACCACTTTGTCAGGCACGGACGGTCTCACATTCAAAATGCACTGTGACTAGCGACTACCTGCTGAACGCGACCAGCGACCGCCTTTTCTTGTCCCAATGTCGAATTTTGACCCGTAACTAGCGACCGCGATGTAGAAAATCAAACATTGCTTGAAGCTCCTTCACGAAATTTTGATGATTTCCCATGGTCGTTTCGATACTACAGCTGAACAAATGAGCGCAGTCTCATATTTACTGTGGAATCAGTGTGGATTGCACTACACCTGTCATAATTTCAAGTGCTGTCAAGAACAAACATGATAGGAAACGTCTTGGAGAGCGCATCCAAAGCGCTCTTTGATCGATGTTACTACTCGAAGGAGAAACTAAGAGTAAGACTGAGCGGCTCTCTGTCGAAGTGCAATCACACAGCTCAGTCACCAGACTCACCACTACACCAGGTCACACTGACAGTCTGTGCTGGCTAGCTAGCATGCTACGGTATTATGTACTCACCTGTACGGAACACAGGCCACTGAAAGGTGCGAAAACTCGCAACATCGCCGCATCATGTACCGGTACACACCAGTACAGTTTACGCTACACTACATCCAAGTCGGAGCGACTGAGTTTCCACTGTAGATCAACACACTGATACCAGTTGCCAGTGTAGTCGCACACAGATGAGGATGGAGTCGATAGTGACTAGTGCACTGCCTGACCAGGCCAGCGCTGCTCTGGAAACCCAGTGAGTCGACATATCGCTTCCGGTGTATAAAAAACTTGATTTTCTCTCTCTCTCCAAGTGTTGTATGATCTGAAAGAAGAATGTCAGTGCGCAAGTGGTGGGGGATTGTATTATCTGCATTTTGACATACATATCATATAATGGGATCCATATATGGTCGCGCGGTGCAAACCTCTAACTAAAGACCACCTGCCACTAACGACCACTTTTCCGGGCACCAAGGGGTGGTCGTTAGTTACAGGTTTTACTGTAGTAACAAGTAGTACTAATACTAATAATACTATGGTTGGAAGGCAATGACTGTGAACGCTGGGTGCAAGTGGGGAAAAATAAAGTGGAGCGTGCCAACGCTAGCAACACTCTGTACGTCCCTTTCATTTCATGCAGGAACGCAAAATGTTATGAGAGAATCCTTCACTAACAGTTTTTATAAAAAGTTAATTAGTTCCTCACCTAGGCGTACCTCTAGTACTGGTAGCTTAGTTTAGAGGAATGGGTGCGAAACGACGGTGACCAGTCCAAGGTAGATAGATCTGCGTACCGTCTTAGCTCAACGGAGTCAACCCGCCGACGGCTCGCCATGACTGCGGCCGCAGCGCGTTTGCTGGCTTCGGATGGCAGCTTCGAGCTGCTCATGATGCTGGCGTGTTCGGTGAGCTTGGTACTGGTTTTGATGAACATGCTGAGTGGTGCTAGCGGCGAACTTCGGGATCGTGCTGGTACCGGTGGTCAAAGCGATTCGGAATCTGGTGAGGCCATTTCGCGCCCACTGCCAAGGGCTGTGCAAGATGCCAAGGGTCGCCTGCAAGCGAATTACCGCCAGAATACCATCGTGGTTGGATATGGCTTGTTGGAGAGGAACGCAGAAGGGATTTCAGCTGATGAGTCTGGCGGCGGAACTCCAGTTGATGATATCTTCATCAATGTGGCCATGTTGCGACAAGAGGATTTACTGGAGATGTTTCGAGGGACTTCGTTCGGATCATACGGCGAGCAGATGCGACAAGAGCATATCTTCCAGTCTAGTAAAGCGGAGAAACTTGGACTCGACAAGGTGTTTGAGCTGAATAGTCGAGCAGTGATAGCCATTGGAAGTGCTGGAATTGGAAAGACAACAGCTTTCTGCAGCAAATTACCGTACGATTGGTCACAAGGTCGTCTGCTGGAAGATGTTGATCTGCTGTTGTGTTTCGAATTACGTGACGAAGACGTGTTGAAGTTCCGCAACACAGAGGAGCTACTTTGCGCTGCATTGGATTTAAGTGAAGATGAGGATAGACGTGCTGTGCTGGACTATGTACGGAATAACGCACATCGTGTGTGTATTGTTCTGGATGGTGTAGATGAGTGCAACATGGCAAAGTGCAGTATGTACATGAAACGACTCCTACGCGGTCAAACAACTCTACGAGGGCTGCGCACAATCGTCACCTCTCGCCCATGCCAGAATGTCCATGAGCTATCGCGGCAAGGCCGTTTTGATCGTTACGTGGAAGTGACCGGGTTCTCTTCTACTGATATCGACACGTACATCCGCCAAGTATTACCGGGGGAGGAAGGCGAGCAGATGGTAAGAGAGATAGATGGCCATGGTGATGTCAAGAGCCTTCTAGCCACTCCATTCATTGCTGCACTGTCCTGCACCCAATACCAAGACGATGGCTCGATCAGCAAGTGTGCTACAACGCTTTTTGAAAAGATGGTTCTACGATTGCTGTGCAAGCAAAATAGAGTCCGCTGCAACAAGTACTCCGAACTTCCAGATTCTGAAAGGGAGGTACTGACAGAACTGTCCGCTTTCGCATTCAGGCATTTCGTTGGCCAGAAATTCATCTTCGACGAGTTAGATGTTCATGAAACAAAGCTATCAGATAAATGCCTCAGGCTGGGAGTTCTGGTAGCATGCAAGAAGTCGTTGCTGTCCGGAAAGTACCGGCAGTACCGGTTTAGCCATCTTATGCTCCAGGAACACCTCGCAGCACTCCATGCTGCTACAAACCTGGTGAAATCTGCTGCTGATGTGAGGGGGTTAATCAACTTCATTGGAGTCAAGGATCGGCGAACGTGGATATTCTGGCAGTTCCTATTTCCTTTGGTCACCGGCCCAGATGAATCCAGAGGACTAAACTATATCATGGAGCATATCACCAACTTCATGCGAGATGTCACGAGTGAGTTGTACCACGACATGTCCCTCACTGATCACAGGTCATCTGTTGACAAGGTCTTGGACTGCAATCGTCCCGACACACTGTATGCTTGGAATCACAGCCAGTTCCCTGAAATCTGCGATGTGTTGCGTACATCTCTCCAGCGACACGAGCTGCAGAGCCTTGCCGATGACCTGTTGACAGATTTGTGCAGTGATAGGAAGGGCAGTGATGTCGTAGGTGATCTCCTGCCGCAACTGGGCCGTGAGCCGACTGACGAACTGTTCGTAGAAACCCTGCTAACACACTGGAAGGACAACGCACCACTTACCAATGGCGCCATGCTGTACAGAGCTGTGTGCCGCGTCCAGCCCGATCTAATCCACAATGAGCGCATCCTGCGCACCCTTCTGCCCGTTGCTGATCCGTATGTTCCTGACGAAGCGTCCTTCATTGTTCAGAACTTCATGGGAACACCGATGACGTCGGAGCTGTCAAGTAAACTCGGACTACTCCTGTGTATGTGCGAGCTTCAAATCACCATAATGTGTGACATCATGTTTTCAAGTGCCGAGCTGGAGCTGGAGGGACAAAGGGCACTTTCCGAAGCCGACTTTGGGTTCCAATGCATGCCAGTGTCGGCAGCAAGCTTCCAGAGAATCACAAAGTTCTTGGCTAACATTCTGGCTGATATCAAGGACATACGGCTGTACCAGTCCCAGTTCTTGCAAGCTCAAGATATCAGCGAGGCTTCGGTTGACCGGTTTTTTCAGGTGATCAGCAAATCAACTAGTCTTCAACTGTTCTACT